AGCAAGCCAGTAGAAATATTCAAGTGCTCATGACAAATGACATTTTCTTTTTAGGATATACGCACTTTTTAGGACAGAACCACCTTTTCAGGATACCTTCACAAGATTCACTGCAGATCTAGCCCCCTACACCACAAGAAGTATGACAGATAATTCATTCATCTTGACAAAATTAAGCAAAGAGCAAACAAATGGAAGAAAGGCAGACAAAGTGATTTCCTTCAAAATCGAATATAGCAAATAATTCACTCCATGAAAGAAGTATGAATTTGACCAACTGATTCCTGAGGTGCTCTTGGAACCTGTCCTTCAGCCTGGCACAACAGTGTCAGATGGCTGTAACTCCCCTCAGGGGGCACCTGACCACTTTCTCCAAGTATTCCAGATGTGCCAGCGCCTACAGTCAGAAGAGAACGCCTTGCACAGTTTGGTTCGATTCTGACAAAGAAAAGTCTTCCTTTGCCCTCAGCAAGGACCAGCAAAGTGTAGGAAGCTTTGTGGACAACAGTGTTCGCCATTTAGTTCAGCTTCACTTCACACTTTTAGGGACAAATTACCCAGAAGAAATCAAACCTTGAGTGGAAGCAGCAGAGCAACATGAAGGCAGACTGTGGCAGCAGTGCGTCGCTTGGCAGGCTCACTGCATTTTTAAAAGTACATCAGAGAGGGGTGACACACCTACAGTGTGATGTTACTTTAGGTCCCCCCACTTTTCAAGATAAAATTATTTTCAAAGACAGACTAGGTGGTATTGGCTCCTTTCTCTGACACTTAAAAGCACTTAAAGGCACAAGAAAGCCTGCTGGATACATCCTGGAAGAAGCTCATTAATCCCTCCTTCATCGAAAAATGTGCCCTTGGTAGAGTCCTGAAAGGTCTGAGAAAGAAAAATTAAAAAACAGTAGAAAATGGAACCAACACATTGCCAGACAGGAACCTGTGGTTAAAAGAGTGGATAAAACCAACAACCTACTTGTAAGGACCCTGCATCAGCAATAGCTTCTGGACACTGGAAATTCCTCAGGCAGATTATAAAACTTGAGCTAAGGGACACTAGAAAGAAACAACACTTCTATTTAGCCTGTTCAAAATGTGAGGGTAACTCACACCTCTCTGAAAATGAGATTTGGATCCAAAGGCCTTTTGATAAGAAACCACTGCTGCATAAACTGTCACTGGAACCAAGTGGCTGTCCCTTGGGATGCAGAGACTGCCATGCATTCTGAAAAAGTCTGGGAGGCAAGATAAAAATTAATGGAAGAGGAACTGGGCAGCAAGTGTAAGCTTTTGGACCAAAACTATCAACAAATCAGAAGCTGTATGAATCTGGAAAGAAAGTTCAGATACATCTCAACACAGAGCAGGGCTGAAGAGCACATTAAGAGGTCCACTCTGCTGAATGTGAGAAAATAGAGGTTTAGTGCAGAAGAACTGACTACAGTTTCCTAAGAAGGAAGGACTGGATCAATGTTGTCAGTACATTACTGCACTTAAAGAAACAAAAAGCTTGGTGGCATTAAAAATGGAATAAACATCCCTAAGAAACAGTATGCCAGCATCTAAATGCATAGAGTCAGCTTCAATTATCTGACCTGACAGCTCTGCAGAGAAAGAAAAAAAAGATCTTACAAAATTACACGTCAGCTACACAACAGTGATGATATTTCTCCTACAGATGAAGGAAGGACTTGGAGAAACAAGCACTGTTCATTTTCCAGAAGTAATTTAGTATATTATCATCATCACCATTTGCCCTCATTGCATCTCTCCTGGGGGGTTTTCATGCTGGATGGATGGAGCAAAATATGTCTGTGCACCTCAACCACCCTCAGTCAGTCCCTGACATCTGTGCATCAGAGAGCCTGAACCGAAAATAATGAGCCAGAAAGCCTAAGACATGGGCTGGGGGTCTCTCCTGCCAAACTTCTTATGCATGCTGGTAAACTTTGGCAAAGGGCAGGACAGATAGTTAACCTAGGTCACATTTAAAGCTCCTCAGTGAGGTTCCCATTTGAGAGCCTGGTGAAAATCCCCTAGATCATCCCCTGCATTCACCCTTTTTTGTCAGCTCCCTCACACACTTTCCCTCTCCTCTCTTTCACTGACTCAACAAAGAGATAAACTGAACAAAAAACATAGCTTTAGAGCTGTTTTGGGATTAAAAGGAAATTCAAAGCCTACATCACACCCACCCCTAGACAAGAGGCCAGAAGTGAGGATGTAACACCCAGCACAGCTAACAGTCAAACTTGCAATAAAACTGAAGCAAATATGTACCAGCCCTAAGGACCCACAATAAATGGGGTCCTGGTTCCCACCCTTAGTCCCCTTTTTTCTCCCAGTAAAGCAGTCCAACAGCCCCACTTGACACAGGCAAGGGGTGGGGAGGAATTCTTACAACTTCTATCACCTCATCATTTTTCTGTGTGTCAGAGCTCCCCTCGTACACCACATGGTAACACCTGGAGGCTGCACATTAGGGCAGAGAGTATGAAGAGTGAGAGCAGAAAGTAATCACCAATCAGTGAGATTCTTCCAAAAGCAACTACCAGCTTCCAAAGCTGTGCTGAAACTAAGGAAATAAGTTGTTCCTGCAAGTCTCTGCTAAAAACGTAATTGAAAAGGCACTGACTCAAACGGATTCCAGCTGCAGTAATGAAAAGTGAAAACACTCAGCCCTTCTGCAAGCTGGTGTGCCTTTTTTATAAATATCCTCATGAACTGGCTTCCCAGATAAAAGCTGCCACTGGTTTCCTAAAACTCGGAACATCCGTGTTAGTCTGACCTGGCAGGTACTAAAAAATAATAAAAAAAAAATCAATGGAACATCTAATCCTTGGAAACCAACAAGCAGGGTGTCTGGTGACAGCAGCCACTGGCTGGGACACTGCAGAGCAGCCCAGGGGTGAGTTCACACCTAAGCTTAGGACACCAAGTTCTCAAACACTGCTGCAGACTGGCAGGCACAGGAAAAGGTGAGTCCCTTCAGAAACCACAGGCTCCCAGCTCTTGCAAGGCAACTGGCTGTGTTAAGGCTCAATTCAGCAAGATGGCTGCCAGCAGCACTGACCCAAAAACGGCAACTAAAAAGTAACAGCTTTCCAGTTGCAGAGTAACTTCTGATCATTCCTACCTGGTGAAAATAACTCTGCTATAGTGGAAATTTATTTTTTAAAGACATTCAGGGGCCAAGTACACCTCTCAGACCATAACCACGTCCATCACAAGCTCTACAATGGACAGTGAATTCTTGGCACATGTTGCTGGAACTAACTCAGTAGGACTGAGCGGGTCTAAACTTCAGGAGTTGTAAAAGAAAAGGAGAACATAAACAACAGATATTAAAGGGATCAAAAGTGCCTCTGGCAAGACCAAAAAGTCACTTCAAGTATTCTTGGACGTGGGAAATTTTTCTTTAGGTTCTGTTTTAACTCCTCTGAAGGGCCAATGAAGTGGCCAGGAGCTGAGACCACCATTACTCAACTCATTTCTGAGGAGCACGGAAGACGATCCACGGCCTGGAACTGAAAACAAAAGTGAGGCAAAGACACCGGATATGAACATACAGGCGACCCGCCTCAGCTGCCTGCGAGGCCAGCCCGGCACAACATGTCTGCCTCTGCTAATGCCAAGTCACTTGCTCGCCCCGGCCCGAGGGCCGCTGCGGGGAGGCGGCCGGGACGTGCCTCTCCCTTCCTCGCTATCCCGCCAGGCGCTCCAAGGCCTAGAAGACAAAGCCGTCCCTGGCTGAGGCCTATCCCAGGCGGGCCGCCCCGGGGCCCAGCGGGCGGGGGGGAGCACGGGCAGGGCGCAGCGGGAGGCCCGGCCCGGACAGGCCTCGCCTCCCCCTCCGTGACTCGACACTTCCCGGGGA